TCTCCAAGTCTTTGAGCTATGTCGCCGACATAGGTTACTAGCTAGTGGATCCACCTAAGAAAGCTAGGAAGTATTCAATTTCACTTTGGCCGGTGAACCACCTCTTTTCAGTGTAGGGAAGACACTAGATTTCATGTTAGCTCACATGATCTATGTCGGTTAAATGCTAACGATTTTTTAAGAAAGTAAGTAAGTAAGTAAGTAAGACTGAAAGAACTAGGAAGATGAAGGGTGTTCTGATAGGATGACCAAAGGGTGAGGTTAGACTAAGTAATGATGTAAGTCATTCTTAGTCATTGCACAGAAAGATCCCAATGGAAGTCTTAAAATAATATCCTAAGTAAACCTAGCATGTTCAAAGTGAACATGAAATCAATGAAGAATAAAAGTAAGTTCAAAGTTAACTAAGTAAGCAAAAGCATAAGTATATAAAAAATCATCAGTGTTTGATAAGAATGAAGTTTTAATAGTTATTGACTTATGCCAATAAAGGGAGCAAAACATAATGACTCATAAATTAAAGTATGAATAAATTACTCATAAATAGAAGTATGAATATATGCCCCAGCATATTTATATTATGCGAATGATCAAATAATGGGTATAGCCAATAAAGATAACAAGAATGAAAAGAATAACTTGTGAGTAGGGTAGTCAAATCATTTCCTTGGTCTTTTGGATTACTTACTTGATTCATTGTAGGAATGGGACTACAATGAATCATTGCACTCGTAAATAAAACATAGGATAAAAGGAGATCATTTAACTACACAATAAAAAGAAGAAAAGACTGAAAAATAGACCAAGTCTGGGGAGAGGAGCTCTCGGCCTAATGGGGAGCAAAAATATTAATTTTTGCTCGAGTTGTTCTGAAATTATGCTCATGATTCCAAGGTCTTATGTTCATATAGAAACTGAGTTGTGTGTTCATGAAAATATGTCATATTCATAGCATGACTCATAAATAACGAATCAGGAAAGTAAAGTGACTCTGGTTTCCGAAAATGGCATGTTGCTATAGGAAGAGCTTTCCTTGATCATGCATAGTCCTTATGTGTTTATGTGCATACACCCATACTTAGTACAATTGTGTACTAACCCATATACAAGTATTATTTTTATAGGTGCAGGTCATTGAAGAAGATTGAAGATCAGTTGACGCTGTTTGGATAGTACCTCCAGACTTTGGTAGGTCCTCTTGAGTTCGAGTTGCCTACACTTTATCTTCTAGCTATAGTAGATTAGATATAGCTAGTGGATGTTGTCCCTAACTTTTCCTTTCAAATATTTGTTCAAGCTTCTATATTAAGGCCGGTTTGGCATGTATTAAAGATATTATGAATTCTTCATTTCAATTGTTCAATCTGTTAATAGATGGTTATTTATTTTGAGCTGTTAGTATATCACTCTTATGCAGAAATTATATGAAGTCTAAGTACACTTCAGTAAAGTTAAAAAGTTTTAAATTTTCCGCTAAATTTAACTTTATGATTTTGATGAAAGCTAAGAAGAGACTTGTTTGCTATCTCTGAGAGGTTAATGACATCGGTCTCCTTTAGGGTCTAGAACCCGGGTGTGGCAAACTTGGTATCAGACCATGAGGTTAAATTACCTATGAACTAAGTCTCAAAAAAACTACGTTGCATAGTTTCTAGCTTATAATTGTGAAGTGCACCACAACCATGACTTACAGACTTAGTGATGTTAAGAATCTTCCGTCTTCTATTCTTTATCGTGTTGTGTAGAGATTTGACATTTTGTGTCATTCTAGCATCTAACTTTCTTCTCGTGTGTGCGTATAGAAAAATGAACACAAGAAGAAGCGCAGGCAGGAGCGTGGGAGAAGCAACTGCTGGGGGAAACCAAGCTCCTCCTCAAGCCCCAGCTGTTGGAGTGCAAATGCCTGTCAACCCACCTGCATTGACATATCGAGAAGTGAGAGCAGCACTGGTTCAGATGGCCCAAGCCATCACAGCTCGGGCATAGGCTATCACAGCTTAGGCCACTAGAGAGGGTGCTCCCAGGGAGAACCCACATGCTAGCACTCCCTCCAAAAGTCGTTTCTATTTGGGGCATTGGCTGCAAGCAATAAAAACGTAAGTCCTAGGAATTAACATGGGTTTTTGAACTTTCTTTTTAAGTCTTATTTTTTATTATTCCTGTAATGATATTTCTCAAATAGTAATAATAATATTTTTTTTCTTCATTTTTGGTTATTAAAACCTTCCTCACGTACAATACATAATATTTATTTTCTATACATATATTATTTATTAAAATTTATTTGTAAAATAATTGAAAGTTTTGTTTTTTCTTATTTTCTTAGTAATAAAATTATATAACTGTATATATGGAATTGCGCTCCAGAGATCCATCAGACTTGCATATGTATAATCATTTATACGCCCACAGATATTTTTTCACAGTTTCTAATATATTCTTGTAATTAGTTATAGTCATTTTCCAATGTTTTCTTTCAAAGCAAGATTATCATTTATGAATTAATTAAATGTGTGTCAAGTCAATATCGACAACTAAAAATATACTAAGGAGTGATCATTTCTTTTTGGGTGTTTTTTCTCATTCTTCTTAGTTAAAGATTAAAGTGGATAGTCAGCTAATCAGCTTCATAATTTGAACTTTGAATTGTGCGTTGTGGACTCTTTGAGTTATTGAGTTGTCCCTTGGGAAAAAATATTACGTTGTTTCCTTTGGTACTTTTTTTTAGGGAAAAGGGTCAAAAATACCCCTCAATTTTCGTTTATTGTTTGATTTTACCTTCGCCGTTAAAATGAAGTTAAATTTACCCCTCCCGTTTCTAATTTCACCAAAATTACCCCTCATCTAACGGAATCCCCAAAATTGATTCAAATTGCCCTAATTTTTTTAAAAAAATCCAATTTCTTATTAATTTGATGTCTCAACCCGCCCGACCCCTCTAGAGGATAACTCGGTTGTGATCTTTAAAGACTTCTCTGCAGATACATTATACACAATTTTTTATTTTCTAGAATTAACAGCACCGACTTAGATGAAGATTTTATAAGTTTTGAACTTTCTTTGCTCATTTTGTAACTTGAGGAATCCAATTTCAGAAATAGAACACTCTTTGGTGGCAACGGTGCCTTTTTTCTTTATCATTTCTGAGGGTTCAAGAGAATGAACCTTGGAAGAAGGTCTATGATCACGTTCACTTTCTTGCCCTGTCCATGTCCTAGCATACTCCTTGGAGGAGATGAATGGTTCAGGGAAATGCTTGAAAAATCAAAGGTTATTTACTTATTCAAAACCAAGGTGATAAGGAGATGATTCGTTTAGGACTTTAATCGAACAATTCATCTTCACCTTCGACACCTCCTTTTAGTTCCATTTCAAACGCAAATAAATTCAACTAATTTCCACAATCTTCCCCTAGAATCATGGTATCGAATGATGGGTTTCATCCTTCGCCTTGTTCTTCTCGATGGTCTAGTGGTCAATATCGATTTTTCAAGATGTCGTCGACCAGTGTCGTATGTTGCTGTTGTGAATGGTTCGGGGAAATCCACGTTCAACTTCTTTCCCTATCCTTACATACTCCTTGGAGGAATGGACAAATTTTGATTGACCACAAACACTTTCTTTCCCTCTCCCAGCGCACTCCCTGGAGGAGTAGAAAGCTTTTGCTCAACCGCAGTCATCTTTTCTCCCTCTCCAAGCATACTCTCCAGAGAAACCAAAGAATCGGGTTATCCCTCCCTCTAGAGGGGTCGGGGCAGGTCGGACATTGGGTTAAAAATAAGAAATTATTTTTTAAAAAAAAAAATTGGGCAATTTGAATCAATTTTGGGGATTCTATTAAATGAGGGGTAATTTTGGTGAAATTAGTAACAGGAGGGAGAAATTTAACTTCATTTTCACGGCGAGGGTAAAATCAAACAATAAACGGAAGTTGAGGGGTATTTTTAACCCTTTTCCCTTTTTTATAAGGTAAAATAAAATACTTCCACGAATATTCCTCAAATTTTGAAGTCTAAAATTATTTTGGAATTTGATAGTAGCTTACACAAAATGGATTACATGACATTTGCATTTTTTTGGTTGTACTTCTAATTAGCTGAACCATTGCAAACAGAAGAAAGATTCTGCTACTGAGTGTGACTAATTTTATTTCTGGGATTTTGAAGGCAACTCTCTACATTCGATACTTTCATTATCATTAATGTCTCTACATGACTATACAAATGATAACTAAATGATGGTCAACATTCAACAACAGAGTCCACATAAGTATTTTGTCAAGCAATACACTCACTATAACGGTACCTCCCAACAACATATATAGTAGATTTCCAAGACTGTGACATACTATTTGGTTGTGTTCCTATCCATGGCCACTAGTGCAATAATCAATCTGTACATACCAACACCTCAAACAAAATGCATCAATACTTTTGACAAGTTTGACTTCCGACTTTTTAATAGTGTGATTCGGTTCAATCTAGATTCCTTTTTCAATATATCAAATAAATACATCATTATTGATGCAGAAAAAAACATTCTATCATGAAGTTTACAAACTAAGTGTGTTGCTCTTTCATAGAATATTTAGGTTGTGGAAAAAAAATCATCTGTTTCGACGGACTTTTACCAGTTGATATGGAGAAAATCCATAAATCTCCTAACTAACATTTCAATTAAATATTCAAGGTGATATTTCATTCTCGATGTAATTACTGCATCGTCAAAAATTTTACCAAAATTTTAAGACAAATTTTATATTGAAATGAATGATAAAAAAAAGGCCGCGTCAGTGCAGCACTGCTCAAGAACTAATACAGAAGTTCGTTTTCATGCTGAAATCACTCCATGTGCTAAAATTTAATGGAAAAATAAACGTTCCAACGCATCTCAGAACATGCTTGTTTCTTTAAAGATTAACTCTTTACTTCCATTCAAAGCACTAAGCATTCAAGTGAAATTTGAACAACGAGTAGAGTATTTTATTTTGCTGACAGCAGTTCAACAAACAAAACAAATTCAATTATTTTAGGCAAGTCTTGCACAAATTGATTTGTTAGCAGTCAATTGTCTGCTTAATTTTTTCTTTAATCCAATTAAACAAGTAGATGATAGCACATATATTTACTCCTCGGCAGTCACACTTCCATCTCCTTCACAGGAACCGGCCCCTCCCCCTCCTGCTCCATTTTGGCACTTCAAAGGCTGCACTTCTGCTCATTTTTGCACTCCAAAGGCTGCTTAGAGCAATCAGAACAAAGCAATTCCAAACAAAAAGTCTCCACATACTCTGTGTTATTTATACATCTCCCACATTCACTACACCGTAAGATGCAAAGTGAGCAGGCCCTACATTCTTTAATAGCTTCATCTTTCACTTGGCAACCCTCTGCAGGACAATCATAGACCAACCTTACCTTTTTACACATAGGGCATAGTTGAACATCAATCGCCCGACTGTCATCAGCCAAACGATAAATATTCCTTCGAGAAAAGAAATGGGGTTTGTAAACATTTTGCCTCGTCTGGCTATCTGAACCTAGAAGAAACTCCAGCTCTTCAAAATGCTCACGCATCACTCCATAAAGACCGCCAATCCACAGGTTCTTTATACCCATTTTACCTCTTTGACAGTTAAAAGACTTCAACATATTTACAATGCCTTCAATACTGAGTCTTGTACACGCAGGAACAAATAGCTGCATGAAATAAAAATAAGATTAAAAAGCACAACATTGTACATTCACGCACACACTAGAAGTAGCAAAAGGGACCTTGTACCGAAGAAACTATTAGGGATCGTTGGTAGAGTGTATTAAGAAATATAATGCAAGAATCAATTCTGTCTAGTAGTAATGCATTGTTTGGTACACTTGTTCATGCTGCTTATAACTACAATCTATCATGTATTACTAATACAATGTATTTCTAGGTATTAATAATGCAAGGGGTTTTAATGCATATGCATTAGCAAAAGGTTAAAGACTCCATTGCCCCTCAAAATCTTTTACATCATAATAGTGAAGGTTATCTTTGCGAATAAATGTTTGTATGCAATGTATGTTATTTTTAATACACAAATGTATAAGAAATAAACTATGTATAATTAATACACGCATTACTAATACACTCTATTTAGCATTATTCTTATAAACTCTACCAAATGACCCCTTAATAGCAAAAGGGTAATGATCCTGCACTAAACCGTATTCCTAGCAAGAGTACTTGGCACTAGGCACAAGAGAACGAAAATGAGGAAATGAAAGAACCAAACAGCCTAACATGCAACCTGTGAGCAACCACCATGAAATCAAGGGCATTCATCTAACAGACTTATGATTCCATAAACAATTCAAACTTCTGCAAGTAAAAGCTAAAAACCCGCTAAAATATGGCTTTAGCATCCTCTGTTAGGTAATGCAAAAAATACAATGACCATCAGAAGTTCAGATTCTGCTTACAATTTAAAACAAGGAAATGATGGTGATAGAATCATAGAACTACATCCAGACTGATATCAGAGTCATTAGACAAAATATGTATGAATCATGTTCTAAATCACGTAACTTCCATGAATAAGAGTGCAGTTAGGAAGTTCAAGTTTAGTCCAAAAGATATTCAAGCTGTACTGTGACAGATATCAGTATAGAATTTATGTCATTCTTCTGACCAACATTTCAGTCTTTCACATAATATTCAGGAATAAATGGCTAAAATTGTATTACTCCAGAAACAAAACAGGTCATTAGAATGTGTTTAAGTGCATCATGTTAATTTCAACAAGCATACAACAACCATACCATCATGGTTAGAACCACAAACACCACAAATATATTAAGAAACATAAAAGTAAAATGAAGATGAACAACAAAGTTACCACGATCATAAAAATGAAGATGAACAACTAACCTTTGTCAAATGTGGATTAGAGTCAAGAACCCGCCTCAAACCGTCATCTGTGATGCGGGTGCACTCTAACAAACTCAAGCATTGTAAGTTACCTTGAGCCCTGCTAGTCAATTGCAAAAGGATATCATCGCTGATCTCAGTCAATGGATTTTCAATGTGAATGCTTTTCCACAATAAAGGATCAGTTTTTACAGTAAGCCGCAAGGACCTACAAACACTTTCTACTGTCAAAAGATCCTTCACTCCAAGGTAACCAAGAGCAAAAGATAAAGCCTCATGAGGGGCTCCTTCATCTTTACCAGAGCAAGACGTCGCCCCAGACCCTGTTCCCATGGTCAGGGGAAAAAAACTGACTGAACCTACATTATTTAAGCCTGCAGTGTCCCCCACATTGCAAGCTGAGCCAAGACCAACATGGGCCAAGGCGTCCCTCATATCTCTCTCCCCAATAAGCAAACTCACTGGCTCACCTCTATTCAGTTTGTCATCAGACTGAACGTGATTAATAGGGAATGATTGGAACCTCATAGAATCGTTCCATACAAAATCAAAACCAGCAATTAAACCACAGTCCTCATTACTTGGACTGGCATGGTTTCTCCTACATCCTCCATAATCAACTTCCAAATACTCAAGCCAACCCGTAATGGCTGTGATAGTGGTGCTTATATCCATCCCAAATGGATCAGCAGGGAGAAGATCAATGATATCCTCCGATACCGACTCCGAATAATCACACTTGTCTACTGTTTCCCTCCCATAACCATATTCAAACCCGTCACGCGGTTCTCGACAAACACGCCACGACCAAGCAAAATTCTCCACATTATTCTCCGGAACACCCTCGACTAAACACCCATTCACAATTCTCATGGGTGATACCAAATTATCCTCAGATATATGCGCCGGAAATATGGGCCGATGCGAAAAATTTAATGCCATATATGATTTAGATCAACTCTAACAACAGCCAAAAAGGAATAATCTAACACCTAAAAATAGGATTTTGTTTTTCTTTTTCTTCTTTTTGGTTTTTTCTATTTTCTCTCTTTTTTGGTGACGCGAAGCTTATTAGATTCAACAAGGAAACCCTCAATTTCGGATGGTAAACTAAAAGACAACGCACCTAAAATCTCACGGAGCTTCTTGTAACAAAAAATCTGAATAATACAATAGAATCAATCAGCGAAACAACACCTTACTCTTTCTTTTTCTTTTTTTTTTCTTCAAAATTTTAACTATACAAATCAAAAAATAAGGAATCAACGAATATTTGACAGAATAGGAAAACTTAACAGGCTAGGGTTTTGCAAAAGAATGTGAAAATCGAAAAAAAAAAGCAGATAAAGTGATAAACAAAAGAACCTGATTGAATACAAACCCTAATTTGCTCAGCGAAGAACACAATCGACAGAGAGAAAAGGCTGAAATCGTCGATTAGAGCAGATGAAAAATCGGGAAATTGAAATTCCTCCGAAATCAAATCAGATTCAAAAGAAAAAAGGATAATGAAGAAATCTGCCGATCGAGCTCAAAGAGAGGAAATAGGAAAATAGAAAGAAATAGAGATAGAAAATTTGAGGGTAGCTGTTTGGGGGGTGGGGGGTTTGAGGGTAAGGGTAAGTTTTAGGAGAAATTGTGTATTGAAATGAGAGTGTCAAAAATTATACCGACACGTGTCCGGTGACTATCTCTTACTTGTAATACGGTAAGAGTCGTGGCGGGAATGGAATTCCCTCCTTTTCGACTCTACTTTCTCGCTTCAACACCTTTTTACATTTTTCTTCTCCATTCCATTCCATTCCATTCAATTAATTTAATTGTTATACAAAATTATGTTTGATTCGAGGTAATAAAAAAATAATAGTATAGTCTTTGGTTGAATCTATTTAATTATATAAAAGGGTCTGATATATTGTTCTTCAATTTTATTATTTAAAGTTGAATTCATTTAATTGTTATACAAAATTATGTTTGATACAAGGTAATAAAAAAATAATAGTATAATCTTTGGTTGAATCTATTTAATTATAGAAAAGAGTTTAATATATTATTCTTCAATTTTATTATTTGAAGTTGATATGACCCTTGTTATAAAAGTAACTTATATATAATTATTCGCAAACATATAGCTCTACCATTACAAAATAAGTTCACATATACCCTTAAAAATTATTTAAGGGTATATATGATTCTTCTAGCAAAGTCTAAAGTATATTTTAATATTTTTTATACATAAATTATTTTTTAACTTTTTGATTATAATTATTTGAATTTCTTATTTTTTCTTTCATTCGTTAGTGTAAAGAAAAATTTTTAAAACTACTTTTTTGTGTACTTGTCAAATTTGGATTAGGAAAGTCAATAGACCTGCCAAATTTGGATTTGGAAAGTCATGCCATGAGTCTAACATGCATCATCAAACTTATCATTTTGCAAACAATACATATCATATCACGTAATTCATATCATTCTTTCATATGCCATGAGAACTTGGGATCATGGACTTGGCGTTAGGACTTCCGAAAATGCAGGCTCAACATATGGGACCTCAACTAGGGAGCCTTCTTTAGAAACCACAGAGCCTGCTTGATTCAATCATACATACTTCATTTTTCATTCTTTCATATACTAGAGCAATCACCAGTCATACCTAAGATGTAGTTTAAGACTCTCATCGGATTTGCTGTGCAATGACCAAAAAAAACCTAGCGTCATTACTTAAGTCTAGCTCACCTCTTGATTATCCTATCCTTACACCTTTGTTATCGTTCATTTCATTATGTGCATCATTTGAGGCTGACCTTCTTCATTCTTTGGGAACTTTAACTTTAACTAACATAGATCATGTGAGCATCATGAAATCAGTGTCTCTCCCACACCTAAAAGAGGTGGAACCACCAGCCAAAGTGACCCAAAACATGCTAGCGTACATGGGAATTGAACCCCGCCAGATCCCTATATTGGAAGTATAAGTTCGAAGACTAGAAGATATAATGAGACCCATACCCGGCATGCCGGGCAGTCTCATCTCATGAGAGTTACGTAAATGTCCGCTCTTCCCGAAAGAAGGCATCACTGCTCATAGCTAGCCTATCGGTGCTCAGTATAAAGTTCCATTTCATTCAGCTCATACATCATGGAAGCTGGCTTCTAGCATGAGGACATCATAGATCGTTAGATGATTTCTCCTCTCATCATTAGTATTAAGTATGCATTAACTTCAATGCTTTCATTAGAGTGTTCATAGAGACTGGTCTCTTCATAAACTTTACACTCTCATAGGTGAGTACGTTTTGGTAACATTTACTTAGACTCATTTGAGATTGCTCTGATCTTTTACATTAGCCTTATATCATGTTGTCACCACATTCATTAACATTAGCACATTTGCTCTTCATAATTACTCACCCCTTTTTAAGTGAATGTTCATTTCATCATATGCCAATGCACTTGGCCATTTAGTGTATCTTACACTCGTACTTAACCCTTCAAGGGTTTCATAATTTCATTACATACATATTAGGTTAACTTATTTTTAATTGTATGTTAGACTTATGGGTATATACATACAAGCCATGAGGCTTCATTCATAGCTTGTTAAGTGACTCATAACTTCCTAAGATTATGTACTACAAGACTTATGTATTTTGTATGTACGCCAAGATTTCGACTTCGATCTAAGTAGGTGACATAATTCTTGAACATTTAATTCACGTATGATTTATGTATCAATACGGAAATTTGGGGCAAGGGAAACCAAGTTCGAATCCCTTGGACAACACTTACATTTTTCCTTGATTTTATTTTTAGTCCTCTTGACATTGGGACGCTAGATCGAGCCCTAACATCAACATTCTTCCTTTAATTTTTCTCCTTGGATTTTCCTCTTATTTGGTCGAAGAGTTGTAGGATCGAACCCCCACGCTCCTTTTTATTTATATTTATTTCATTTAATTCTTCTTGTCCAATTCACATAGACCATGAAGTTGTGGGCTCAAACCCCCACAATCTCTCTTTATTTTTCTCCAATTTCACAGCCTACCTAAGGTCGTGGGTTCAATTCCCACGCCACACCATTCTTTAATTTTCATTTTTTCTCATTTCTCATTGAACATTGCTACAGCTTACAGAGGGGCGTGGGATCGATTCCCCACAACCCCATAGTTTTTTTTAATGATTTTTCTAACCTCCTCCTTTACTCCTAATTCGCTACTGACCAAGGGGTTGTGGGATTGATCCCCGCCAGCCCCTACCTTTTTTTATTTTCTACAGGCGTTGAGGGGTGTGGGATCGATTCCCCAGGACCCCTTCTCTTTTTATTATCTTTTGCATTCTCTAAGGGGCGTGGGATCGATTCCCCACGACCCCATATATTTTTTTATTTAATAAGTTGGGGTCTTCCCTGTCCTGAGATCGAAACCCCACAACAACATTTTATTATTTTCCCCTTTTTGCGAATTTCGCCGGACCCAACTCTAGTTCAAGCCCCGCTTGGATCACCCCTTTTAATTTATTTGTTAAGGTATGCCTTAGTGAGGTCTTGGGTTTGATCCCTGCAGACCTCACCTATTTTATTTTCTTTTTCACGTTCAAAATTTCCAGAAATTATCTGCAGCCTATTTACAGATTCTGGAAGTTTATTCCATGATTTTATGCATCATTTTCCGGGTGATTTTAGCATTTGTTTCTTATACATTGGTTAGGGTTCTTAACATAAGTTAGAGGAATGATTTGGTGATTTGTTTTAGCTAGAGTTGATAGCATTTTAGCGATGTAAATATTACGTCTAGGAACATCTACTTACACATAAAACACAAGTCATTCCATGTTATTAGCATGCTAAAATGGATACTCCAAAGTCATAGTAACAACCTTGCAAATATACGTTCATGTCTATATTCATATTTTTGAAAGACACAAAACATAAGCACATAATCATGAACACATACTCGAGACGAGATCGTCACCCCACACACACATTGCACCTAAATTCTACCAGCAAACATAGCAACCTAAGATCATTGGGAGCTAGTGACAGGGAACATGAAAAGGGGAAACAATTCTAGTTTCGAATGAATAATATGAACCTTAAGGGGTCTCTTGGGAAAGGGTCCAAGAGGGAAGAAAACCCATACCTTATTTTGACGTTCAAACCTTGAATTTGCTTCCCAAACCCTCTCCAAAAATCACATCCAATCCAAGTTTTCAACACAAAACTTTCGACGGAAAAACAATCTCTTTACCTAACGTGTTAACTTAGCTTGTTTTCTTATATTTTCATGTATGTTCTTTAAGTGTGAGGAACTCTACAAATTTTTCTTTTCTTGTAGTCATTTAGGCAGAGAGAAATCATGAAAAGAGTGGAGAAACGTGAGAGAGATGTGCGTGAGAAAGAGTTAAATGAGGTGAAGTAGTTTAGACTTAGCCAACTAGGAGACTTAGTAAAACAAACACATTAATTAATTAATAATTAATGATAAAATCTGATTTTTCCTTTTTAAATCAGCAATTAATTTATTAATTTATTAAATTAATTCACCAATTAAAAAAATCACATTAAATCATAGCTCCCACCTAGGTTCGAACCTGGGTGGAGCAAAACTTCACTTCAAGGGCTCAATTTCGACTCTCTTTCCTCAAATTGCCCTTACACTTTATTAATCAATTAATTAATACATATTTAGGGTAATTACGATATTACCCTTAGACAGGAAAATACCATTTTACCCCTAGACCCTTCAAACCTAAGATTTCTCCTTTTTATGTCCGGTAAAGACTCTTTCAAGTAAATCTTCGTATTTGATAGCCCTATATGGTTGGACCCAATATTTCCAAGATCAAATAACACCCCAAGTTAGTTGGATTGGCTGTAGTAAGGGTTCCAAGGTTTGGTTCTACATGCATCAGTCCGTGTGAACCCTGGTCTAATCATAGGCCTTCTTGACACATTAAGCATTTCTTATCTTATTCATTTTTAGGGTTGTTACATATAAGAAGTATTCATACATTCTATCACTTGGCATAATGACCATATAACATTAATATTTGATAAACATTAATTGTGCATACAAGAAGTATCTTCTATAACATCCATCATACATACCACAATATAACAAACTACTAATGCAAGTTATGGGGTTGTACATAGATTTTAAGCTACATACTTCATTCCATATACTAGTACTACAATATGAGAATCAATAAAATACAAAGTATTTGACAAAGAGGCGAAATTGCAAAATTAGAAGGCAAACATATTCATAAACAACTTGTAATTGACTACAAAAACAAAGGTTTTTGTCTATGAACGTTAATGTGCAAAGATCAAGTCTTTACCATATTTCATTAAAAAGGACCAAATCATCAACGAAATATAAAAATAAAAATAAAAGAAACAAGAAGATAAAAAAATTCCAAAAACGACTCTGTTAGACAACTACTCTTTAGTGGAATTATCACAACTGACTATGTGTAGTTAAAGAATAATGTGTCAAATTTACTTACAAAAGGTCTAACTAGAGAGGAAGTTGAGAGATTATCGACGAAAATGAGACTATGGTCGAGGACAAGTTAGCATCGCGATAACTCTACCTAGAAGACTGGAGATCCCAA